CAGAATCTCTCTCTCTAGGGCTGTCTCCGGTTGGCGGGAGAAGGCACGCAGCCGTGTGGGTGTGACGGAGGGAAACCGAGGCATATGAGAGAGGAAACAGAGAGGGCGAACGATGGGACCCTCTCAGCCCCAAATATATTCTTTTCACAGTCAGGACAAACATTAAACAGCCTCTAATCAGGAAGCTTTACTCCTTGATTCGCTTGGGGCACGGTGCCATAAAGCTGGGGCCGAGTGCAAAAATCTCCAGTTTTACTTGTAAAATCTCCCCTTACATTCTGAAGGGTGGATATTTATTTTTTCAGGAGATGGCAATATTTGTCTTGTGGACAAGGAAAATCCCGTTGATTCCAGAAGGAAGCCTTGATCAGGTTTAATCATTCTAAGAGAGGCAGGGAAGGTGGCTATGGCATGAAAATGAGTTTCTTTTTTCCTAGAATAGTAACTAGCAGCTAATTTTCAATTACCGTTTAAATGAGCATAGAAGACGTGGCTCTTCCATCAGGCTTTCTTGGAGCATTAAGACCTCAGCCTCCCCTTTACCCTCCTTTTTGTTACCCTCTCCATCACCCTTTTTTACCGCCTTTATTTGCCGTCGGTTTTAATTTACCCTATTTGGCTTGTATTTATTTATTTATTTTTATAGCGTTTTAATATTGCTGCTTATACTGCGGTTAGCCGCCCAGAGTGGCCTGGTTGCCAGATGGTGCGGGGTACAAATTCAACAAATCAATACCGTTGGCCAAAGTAAAAAACTCTTTTTATTTTCCCTTTCATCCCCAAAATGTGTGCCCTGACAAACACAAGAAAAGGAAGTCTTTGGGGTTTTTTCCAGAAATATTTGGTCAGAGTGTCAGTTCTAATCTGAAACTGGATTATGTATGCATTTTGGATTAATGGATTGTCCAATATCCTGTCCTTCTTCCAGTAAACTCAGAAAAGGGGTTAGAGAATGTAGACGGCTTGGTGGATTATGGAATTGGAGTCCAACGCATTTCAAAGATGCTAGGATGTAAAAAAAAATGACACGTTTGCCCCAGAGACAGAACTATATCTGAAGTCAAAAATGTTGTTTCACCGTCCTAGTGTCTTTTAAAGATCTCTGAAATCTCCCTGGAGGCTTAAATGTTGAAACAGAGGCTGTCCTCCTTGGGGCACCTCGTGAGAAGGCAGGATTCTCTGGAAAAGACCCTCATGCTGGGAAACGGTAGAAGGCAGCAGGAAAAGAGGACAACCCAATACAAGATGGACGGACTCCCTCAAGGAAGCCACAAGATGGAGTTTGCAGGGGATGAGCAGGACGGTTGAAGGCAATACATTTTGATGGTCACTCAATCACAGGAGTGTCCCAAGTCGGAGGTGACTTGACAACACATAACATTAATAACGACAACAGGATAGTGCAAGTTGTTTAGTTCAGTAAGCTCAGAGATGGCAACATAGATTCCTGTTTTGTTTAATTAACATCTCATCTTTTTCCACAAGCAAAACTCGGAAGTAATGAGTTACAAAGGATTCAGTTAGATGTAACAAGCTATTTTTTTTCTAGTAACAAGCGTGTAAAGAAGTTATATTTCAAAAGTAATGCAAGAAGTGTAAATGAAGCCCCTTTTTCTTTCGGTTTCAGTAATGGCCTGCAGTTACTTTTTCTAAAACGTTACTTGTTACTTTTCAATATTACTTTTTTTAAGGGCATCCTGCGGCCGTTTTCAAGACATCGGGACCGACATTTTTCATGGCATTCTCTTATGAATCCTAGGTTTTTACCTTCGGCCACTCGGCAATGGAAGAAAAAGGTGACGTTGCTCTTTATGAAGAGACACAAGAAATCACCTTTAAAACAAGATTGTAACAAGCAACAGTAAACCCCCCCTTTTTTTTTGCACTACAACTCCCATAAAACCAAACCAGCACCAGCTCTAACTCTGCAAGATACCTCAGTGGTTTCGGCCTCTGAGGTTGGGAGTTCGAATTCCCCACGGGGCCTCCTTGACAGGGGCTGGACTGGATGACCTCCAGCGGGTCCCTTCCAGCTCTGCATTTCTTAGTTCTAAGATAAGATGAGTTCTGGAGTGTTCGCACGAATTTTAAAAATGTGTCCCTGAAACCCTTCCTGTAGGGAGAATGGGGCGTCATGGAACACGGCCCAGAATTTGGTGACGAAATGCAGATTGTGGAGGGTTGTGTCGCTCCGATGGTCACGGAGTCAGCCTTTGAGGTCATGCTTGGCTTTCCTGTTTCACTTCCCATTCGAGATGCTGCAACAGCAGCCGTGGGAGAGAAGGGGGGAAACGACAGAGCTCAACAGCTCCATTTTCTCAAGAAAGCACTGAGGTCATGAGTTCGAAAAGCAGCAGTGACCTAAATCACCCTGCTTTAAGCTAGAATGGGTTGGGGTGGGTGCGGGTGATAGAAGGC